TGATCTCAGTTTCAGAAGTGAGTCTTCTCTTAACAAGCCATCGTTCGTTTGTGATGTGGAAGTTGCTGATGGGGACAAACGCAATTCTTCTTCATCTGCCTTTGGGCGTTGGGAGGTTCGGCACACGCGTTTCTTAAAGCGCTCTGTGCGGCGTGAATCGGGGCGGCAATTCTCACGTGACCCCATTCATGTTTGACAACATTTAGAGTGAAGAAAGTAGATTCTGGTCCCAAGAACATTTTTGGAAAACCTGTTGTAGTTAAGGAAATGAGGAAGGGCTCTCAAGGCATTGTTTTTTAAATATAGTAGCACCTGACCACCTGCATTTTGATGTATTTGTTGCTTTTAATGAGGATTTACTGAGCACCTGCTGTATACCCATACTGGGCCAAACAGTGTTGGAAAGGCAAGCTAACAACCCTCTTCAGATCCCACGATCCTCACAGTAGCTACAGCATCCTAGTTCCCAGATGAGGAAAGTGGGTCTGGAGAGATGACCCATATGTCCAAGGTCACCAGCAAGTCCATGGCAGAGCCAGTGATGTCCTTCTGAGGCAGCCCAGTGTTGTTTATACGTTGGCTTCCCCTCCCTCCCCGCCCCCAGCATGCTAGGCTCTATGAAGAATTTATTAAGTTCTGTGGAAATCCAAGGGCAGGACAGGACCCCATCTCCCATGCAGTGTTTGAGAGGACAGTGTGTTTGAGGGGAACCTCTCTGCAGCGCTCCCCAACCTTGGCTGCATGTGACATTTCAGGTGGCGTGGTGAGACCCAGGCATCAGCTGCTTTTAAAGCTCCATTCCAACGTGCAACCAAGCTGAGTGTTTAGAGGACTCTGTGCAGGGGTGGCCATGAGTGTCCTAATCCAGCAGATTTCCTCATAAGCTCCTTCCTTCTTCCAACACAGCAGGTGCACAGAGCTGTGGACCAGAGCTGTGAACAGTCACCAGCGAGGAACATCTGTCACAGACTAGATGTATATATTTTTTCTAAGCTGCACAACATGAATCCTGGGGCCGATTTCTCTGGCCTTTGAGCTGTGCTTTTAAAACCTCTTCCTTTTAGAATTAGAGAACCTGGGATGGACTAAAGAACAAGATCATTATCATACGCTTCCCTTGCAGTAAAAAGCAAATGACAAGCATGCATGTTACAAAAGATCATTTCTTAAAAAGGCACGTGAGCACTTCTCTGCTTCCAAGATGGATCGTGTGGAAGGCAGGTGGCTCATGCTCATGGCGAGACAGGAGAAGGGGAGGCGAAGCCTCGTCGCTGGGAAGCGTGACGCGTGGTAGCCACGCCCCCTCCTCACTGTGTGTGTTTTCCAGTGTACAGGACTGCGGAGAGCCCGGCCTGATAAACACGTCGCCTCAGGTTTTTGTCCGTTTTCTTTTGTTATGTCCTGATAGCTACCCTAAATAATCGTGGGGGTGCGATGCAGATGAAATGCACGTGGCTCCGAGTGATGTCAGCAGTGCTGCGATCTGGGACCGATGACTGTCAACGTGCAGCAGGATGAAGAAACGAAGACGCAGCTAAATCCTGCCGGGGCAGAAACTGGGCAGGAGGCCTCCCAGCCGGCCCTCCCCGCGGCGGGTGGTCACCAGAGGTGACCCGGGGCGCCCTTGCATGGATTTCTCTACCTGGGTCATTTGTTTTGGTCTTTTCCTTATAAACACCATCTCCTTTTAGTCAGAAAGCGAACATTTGGTAAGGGATGGTGACAGTAAGGGATGGTGACAGTAAGGGATGGTGACAGTAAGGGATGGTGACAGTGAGCTACCTTTACTGCAGTCCTCTGCCTCTCCCTTTCGCCTTGTCCCAGTAGCCTGGCAGGGGCATCGGCCCACCTCCAAGGGGTGTGACAATGAAGCCAGCCTCGCTCCTCCTGTAACACGCTCTGAGCCAGGCCAGGGGAGGTAGCATCGTTGATGCCGCCTGTGTGCCCTGCGCGTGCTTCACATGCGTTATTGAATTCGTCCTCCTGAGAGCCCTCTCAGATCTGCTTCGTTACCCCTGTTTTCTGCATGGGGACCCTTGGCTGTGACCACAAAGCCAATGATGATGCAAGGACTTGAAGCCACGTTAAATGGCTCCAAAGTAGATTCTTTTCCTTCGATCACTCTGTCTCATACCCTCTTCCTGGAGCAAAGGGTGCTAGCCTGAGGGGACCTCAGGGAGGTCCACACGAGGTGACCGAGTGCCGTGAGTCTTCCTTCGCAGACCGAGTGCTGTGTTAGTCAAGGGCAGTAGAGCAGGCCTCTGCAGCTCCGCCTCCTTGCGTTTCGTCATTGCCCATTCACTGTGCTGCAGGATCTCCTGGCAAGGCTGGCGTAGTTATTATTATTAATTTGCGCAGTCCGAGGTGTGGGTGGCAGGTCTCAAAGGGTCTTGGTGTTCTGAGCCCCACTTGTATTCTGAAGGCGCTCACCGTCTGTTTTGGGCCCTGTGTTTGGCTGTGAATGTGCAAAATATTTTTCATGCTAAAAACCAGGTAGAATGTGAAATTGCAGTGTGGAAGAATGATGCCAGTTGAGGTCCCAGCTGCGTAAATCTGGTCTCTTGGCTGCTAGATTGCGCTTTCTAGAGCTCAGGGGGATATAATAAAAGTGACGCCTTTGTACAGCAGTGGTCACGTCGTGGAACATTATCTCCTCCACGGTGGGGAAGGCACTAGAGATCCTGGAGCGGTGGTTTTCATCATGGACTCTTAGCAGCTGAGGGCACCTTTCTTCATATGACGTATGTAGAAACCCAGTATAAATAACACAAGTCAGACCCAAGTCTGAAGGCAAGGTGAAGGAAGGGGGCCTGCAGTCCCCACCCTCCACTCACCTCAGAGCTGACACTTCAGAGAGAATGCACTTTGCATTCACGTTTGACTGAAAGTAGACTAATGCTTGGTTGGATAACGATCTTTTTTTTTTTTTTCCTGACTGGATCATCATCTTGCTTCTATTTTAGGTAAAGCGATTGCCAAAACCATAAACCTAAATGAAGATATTGCTGTTCCATTGCTGTGTAATTTTTACTCTCAATCTACAGAAGCAGATTCAGGGCTGAGAAAATACATACGTACATACATGCATGCATGCGTGCGTGCATCCATACATATAATATAGACATATATTCATTAGAAGTATTTTGAAAAAAGAAAACAATTTTAAAGAAGTATTTTGATGTTTTATTATGAAAAACTTAAATATACACAAAAATAGAGAAAAGAGAACTCTCACGCTCCAAATTTAACAACTGTCATTTTCTCATGTGTGCTTCACATGTTTTTTTTAAACCTCTAATAAATAAGACTTTTGAAAAACAAGCATATCCACAATAACAAGGTCTGGGAACATTTTTCTCTCATTCCTCCTACCCCCATTCCCACCCCCTATCCCAGTTCATCTTGTGGATCAATGTAATTTGAATTTAGTTTGTGAAACCTACATGAGGGATACAAATTTGATTCCACATGCAGGAGTTCCTACGTCTATTCAGTTCATTCTTCATTTATAAATAATTTTAGGGTGATTTTGTTAGTAATGCAAGTTCTTCGTTGCTTGTCTGGAAAACTGAGGAAAATGAGTTCTGTGCCAGGCCTGCAGGGGGTGGGGTAGCTGGTGAGGAAATGATGGGATGAGGATGAATTGGGAGGTTTTGGGGAGCAAGCCCACCCACACTGTGCTGGTCCGCTTCTTGAGCTGGTAAAGTGCTTTGCGCACAACACCCCTGCAGACTTGGTGTTCATGGAGCCTTGGGAGCTGGTACAGGCTATGTCGTGCACGTGGCTCAGAATCACAGCTCCAGCACTGCCTGGGGCCGGCCCGGCAGGGGACAGCTACAATGTGGGCAAAGCCGTTAGACTGGCTGGCTATTCACTCTCTGCCTTGCTTGCAGCAGGGAGGAGCGGAACTGGTGATCAGAGTTCTTTGTTTTCTACTGGTTGTTACTCTGCTATTTTTATAAAGCAGCACATAAAAGGACATAATACATAAGAATCTTACATAAGAGAAACAGCTCATTTGGAGCACCAGGACTTGCCCTGACCCCTTGCTCAGCTCCTGCCACACTTGCCCTCCCATCCTGGTTTTAAGTTCTCTCTTCACTTAGTCATCTGAAGAAAGGCTGAGTTGTTCGCACTTTCTATAGGAGTGTGCCTTCTATCAAAAGTCCAAAACAAATGGGACCATTTGGAACGTCCCCTGTCCTGCATCCGTTTCTACATTAGCTATTTTGTGAAGATGAGCCCTAGAAAAGTAGAAGTCTTTACGCTCACTCGACTTTATCAATGGTAAACCTTATAGGTTAGTTATCAATAACTTATATTTAAAGATTCTATAGCAGATGTTTTCAGGGCAGAAAATACATTTGGGGAACCTTTGCGTTAAGCTTGGAAATGCAAGCTAGGTGATTTCTCACTAAGTTTAATATATGATAATGTTTTTCATGGGTCTTCTAGACACCAGTCCAATTCACACAATGGGATAGATGGGGTATAATGAGTCTAAATGAGCTATGAGGCCCCAGTTATAGGTAGAAACACAAGGTTTGTTTCAGATGAGGATTGTATGGAAGCAGGCAAAGATTCCTTCTGAATTTTATGATTGCTTTCTAAATGAATGACAGTCATGAATTTGCTTCATGGTCCCCAAAATGTTTGTGGTGACAAAAATAGTAAGATTCAATTTTGTACAATGTGATTCACCTGTTACCTGCATGAGTGGAGGGATGGGGTGTACAGAAGACTTCAAATTTATTTTCTCATCATTAAACATTCCCTGGGAAGGTGGGGGCAACATTTCAATAACATCTTTCTTCCCAGAACAAATTGTTTCTCCCCTCGCTTTACCAATTGATAGAAAATATCGTAAGTTGATAAAATTTTTGCAGCTGGTAAAATGATTGCTTCTCAAAATGAATTGCAAGACTGATACATATAATGCGTGGCGGGAGGAGCAATATTTACAATGGCTTATGCATGATTTCCCCTCTTCCCTTTGATAGGAAATAACTACGTGTTTGCCAGATTACTACAAATGGACTCAGTACCTCTTTATTAAACTCTATGAAGCTGGACTAGCCTATCAAAAGGAGGTAAGTTAAAGTTAGCCACACTTTAAAAATTCTATAAGTTTTCTCCATCTTCTTAGAACACATCATTGTTAAATAAACATATAGACCCTGTTTGCACAGTAGCTGTGAAAATTAATACTACCTCTATTTCACGAAAGCAATCACAGCAGACCCAGAAAGTAACCACTGCTTGGCTTCATTTGGTACCTCCAGGACAGGGCTTGGGTCTTTCACCCTTGAATTCCCAGCACATAACACAGTGTCTGGCTCCTGTCCTGAGATCAAGGAGGAAGCATAGTAGGAACATGGGCTTCTCAAAGCCTAGCTCAGCTATCTCTCCCAGCTGTGTGTCTGCTGGGTAACTTAACCTCTAGGAATCATGGGTAACTTAACCTCCAGGAATCATGGGTAACTTAACCTCCAGGAATCATGGGTAACTTGACCTCTGGGAACCGTGGGTAATTAACTTAACTTCCAGGAATCATGGTAACAACCTCCAGGAATCCTGGTCTCTCATCTGTTAAGTGGGGTGGTAACATCATCCCTGCAGGGTCTTGGGAAGGGGGAGATAATGTTTGAAGAATATCACAGTGCCTGTACATAGTTGTCTCCCAAGAAATGGAGATGTTTGTTATGGCAGGAGCTCAATAATAGGAGCTAAGCCTTAGATGGTGGAAGATGAAGGAAAGAGTATCATAGTGTAGCCTGGAACTGAACTGCCCAGGACTTTAGCCACTGATGGCACGTGGTTGTTGATATTTAACTTTAAAGCAATTAAGATTAATTAATATTAAAGATTCAGGTCATCGGTCACACAAGGCACATTCATGTTCTAGTAGCTAGTGTGGACAACACAGATAGAGAACATTTCCATCACCACAGAATGTTCTACCAGACAACACTGGTCTTAAAAATTCAAGTCTACGGCCATGCCACCCTGAACAAGCCTGATCCCGTCTGATCTCGGAAGCTAAGAGGTCGGACCTGGTTAGTACTTGGATGAGAGACCACCTAGGAAGACCAGGTGCCGTAGGCATAAAAAATTTAAAAAATAAGGGATTGTAAGCTGACAAGGTCCTTGCAATCTGTGAGGTCAACCAAGGATTGCCTCGCCTAAAAAAAAGATAATAATAAAATAAAATAAAAAATTCAGAATTAACAGGTAGGAAATTTGTACCTTTATGCTGGAGACAGTCTGCTTTGACCAGAGGGATTTAACAACGTAGAATTACATTTACTTTTCCATGGCTCACATCACACTGCTTGCTCTTATAATGAACAGTACTTACATAATCATTACGTTCTAAGTGTGAAAAGTTTTAGAGTCAATATAGAGACAAATGCAGAAGGCTCAACTTGAATTTCAGACTAAAGCAAAAATATCTTAAACCTTGACAACATAAAGATAATATAGCTAACAAAAATCGGGAGGGGAAATTGGGGAAGAGAAATAGAAGCAAGTGTGAGAAATTCCCTTCATCTTTTCTAGCAAGGGGCCATAGATGAAAAATTCGAGACTTACATCTTTTTTTTTTTTAAGTTAGAAAGGTAACGAAAGATAACAAAATAGCAAAAATAAAAATAGCAGAAACTGGAAGAGGGGTCAGGGTGGGAGGAAGGCTGTCAGTGTGCTGAGCATCTCATATCACGTGGCAGAGGGTCAGCTGAACTGTCTAAAGATAATATGCCAAAATTAAAGTTGTAATGGTAAACACCAGAAAAAGTAATAAACAGAACTTACCAAAAAAAAAAAAAAAAGCTGGGCGTGCTGAGCATCTCATAGCATGTGGCAGAGGGTCAGCTGAGCTGTCTAAAGATAATATGCCAAAATTAAAATTGTAATCGTGAACACCAGAAAAAGTGATAAACAGAACTTACCAAAAAAAAAAAAAAGTGAAGGAGTATTTTAATAACCATTTCACTTAATTATGAATATTCTTTGATACTATACCCAAACTCAACAAGTGTGGTTTCTTAAAGATTAGTTGCAGTGTTGAATCTGAAACATCAATGAATTTTGTGTACTCTGTTTTACTCAAATGTATCGGTCTGTCTTGCACTTTGAATGGATTTTTTTTTTTTTTTTAACCTATGCATACTTTTGTAACATCATGCTTGGTCATTTGGAAAATACTGATTCCATGAGTTATGCACATCTTACAAATCTACTTATTTTATTGTGCAATATCATCATAAGAGTCTTTAAGTTTTGGGAAGCTGCGAACTCATGGTAGGCAGATACAAATTTTCCATAATTCTAATTTTCACTTGAAAGTTCAAATTTTTATCATTGACAACAGATGCCATCAGTTGTTTTCCTTGGAGTTCACTTTATATATTTTTGAGAAAATGTGTGCCACGTACCTGTCTGAATAACCAAAATTTATTGTCATTCTTTAGTATAAAAATATAATTACATGAAAAAATGTGGCTAATTCAGCTCACAAACAGTTGTATTAGTGCTTTTTGTCAAGACAATGTTCATACTTTGCTATGCAACAGCAGTTCTTTATGCCTGCTTTCTGTTCCGTCACAGAAAATATTAAAAGGATGCATTCTCAAGGATTAAGATTTCATAAAATCAATAAATTTTACTGCTTCCTTAAGGCCTTTCTTAGTGAAGCTGGCTTCCCCACCCCGCAGCCCTTATCCGTGAGTGCTCAGTGGTGAAGACCCCAGTGACCATGGGTGCAGTTTGCTGCCACCGCCTTGGTGGGCGCCGAGGACCAGCAGTCTTACCCACCATTGCTCTTGCACTCTCAGTGCAGATGTGAACACAGTGAAAAGGGCAATAGCACCTTGTTATTTTAATGAGAATAGTTTTGACCCCTCGAAAGGGCCTCAGGGATCCCCAGAGTTTTATGGACCCACTATACAAAGAAAATAACCCCTACCCCCGATCTCACCTTTAAATTAAGAAAAATAAAAAGTTGTTTAAAATATTACGTTAAGTTTTTTTCTTCCCCAAGGAAAGTATTGAGTCCCCATTAAAATTTGAGATGAATCGAGAGTGAGAACTTTGTGGAACCAAGTCATATTAATCTAATGCAGAGTCTCGTGGGTCAGTTTAACTTTGAAAAACACAGTCATTCCTATGTCCAGAGCTCCATCAGGTGAGGACTGGTGGGAGACGAGAATTCCTGCCAGAGTTTCTGACTGCAACAGACCACCTTGTATTGTTAAAGCATCACTTTCGGAAGTTAGAAACGTGGCTTCCATGCAAATACAAAGTGAACACGTGTCAAAGATTTTATTCAGCTCATTAATTAGTGAGAGAACCAGTGATAGGTCAAGATCAGTTCAAATGAGATTTCAAGGAATAGAGATGTATAGAGTCAAAGGAATGCTGAAATGAATTCGCCAATAAAATCAAAACGGCTTAATGTCCTACAAGCGATAAACCTAACTTTTCGGGCTGTCTTTTCTATGAAACAGATCGTTTGCATTGTCACTGCCTAGGAGCCCTTTGCATAACTCTCAGCCAGAAATCCTTGGCCTCGCTCTGAGTTTTCTACCAGTGAACCTCTCCCTTTACACCCTGGCTGGGTCGTAAAATAACTTCGTCTTTTTCTAAGTCTGGGGTAATTTTTCTTAACGGTATCATTCAACATTCAGAGGCAAAAGGGTAGGAAGAGAATCAGTGGGAAAATCATCAGAGGTTCCCACTCCATTCAGCAGATTTAGTGTTAACCTACTAGCCTCCCGGACATTTCCAGAAGAGCCCCCGTTGCTCCAGGTGGACAGTAATTATATCCGAAAGGGTTTCCAGACTGGAATCAGGCAGAGGGAGGGAAGTATCATGAGCTGCATGACGTATGTCAAGTGACAGCAAGGAGGAGAAACACAAATCCAGGTTTCAAGACATGCAAGAGCCGCAGCAAAGCAGAGGCGAACTGCAGGTGGACTACAGGGAGGAGCGAACAGTTCTTTGCAGAGTGTCAAGAGTTGTATTGGATTGTCCTTTGTTACCTGTTTTCGGCTGTGTGATTACTGTTTATTTTATGTGCATGGGATATGAAATGATGGGACATGTTAATGTAATAGTGCAAACATTTCTCACATGGGACCCTCATGTGTGCTGTGCAACATTCCTTTATAGGACGCTTTATTTTGGTATCTACTTACTGTCTGTTTAATTTGCACTCTTGAATATTGTATAATCCTTTATAGGACCCTTGCTTCTCTGTCTCTGCACTCGGGATTTGTTCTTGCTGCCTCAATTATACAGCATATCAAACCCAAATAGACTTGACCTCATTGCCGGTGGATCGGGTCCAAAGCCGATCACAGTATCTTAGGAGCTGAATAACGTTTCTAAAGATGAGAGGGCAGACGGGGGAGGGTCCCATTGCAGAGGCACAGCCATCCTGCTAGCTGCAGATGCCTCTCCTCAGTTGTTTCCAGATCATCGTGACACTCCTCAGACCCCCAGTACGCATGCCCCTGGGGAATGTGTTAACACATTCCAGTTTTCCCTTAACTACTTCTTTCCCTTAACACATTCCAGTTTTCCCTTAACTACTTCTGTCATGGAAACAACCTGTATTAGTTTCCTGTAGCTGCTGCTGTAACAAATGACTACAGTTTGGTCTCTTAAAACACCACGAATGTGTTGTCTTACAGTTCTGGACGTCACAAGTCCACGAAATGGGTCTTGATGGGATACGGTCAAGCTGTCGGGCTGCCTTCTTCCAGGAGGCTCTAGAGGAGGATGTTTCCTGGCCTCTTCCAGCTTCTGGAAGCTGCCTGTGTCCCTTCACTTTTGACCCCTCTCCATCTTCAAAGCAAGAGCGTAGCATCCTGAAATCTCTCTGACCTGTGCTTCTGTCTCGTCTCCTTCTCTGACCCTTCTGCCTCCTTCTTTCTCCTGTAAGGGCCTTTGTCGTTACATTGAGTCCACCTGTATAATTCAGGTTAATCTCTCCATCTCGAGATCCTTCACTTAACCATTTCACATAGGTAACATATTTGCTAGTTCTGGGGATTAGGATGTAGATGTCACTGGGGTACAGTTGTTCTGCCCGCCATGTGCCTTTTCTGCTTGCTTCATAGGTTGTTACAAGGATTAAATGAGTGAATGCTTGGAAGAGCCTGGAATGGTGCTTGACACAGAGTAGGTGCTCAATAAATGCCCACCCGAGCGTGCCTGCAGTTACCTGGAGTTATCATGGTGTTTAAATCGGGAAAAGAGGAAGTAAAAAAAAATTCTAAAGCTTCCTGGCTAAATCTAAGGCAGCCCATCCGTGGACAGGTATTAGGGAAGAATAGTGTAGATTATTTTTTGGATTTTCATTTAGAAAGACTGTTCTTGTTGCTAGTTGTTGACTTAAATGTTTTTGGCATATTAATTTTTTAAGTCACCATGAAAATGTCATAATCTTAAGAAAAACATCATAAACTGAATTCAAAAACTGGTACATTGTTTGAAGATCAGGGTTAGTCCTAATCCAAGGTATTTTTTCCACGTTGCTTTCCTTTTATTGGATGGCTGTTTTCAAATTGGCATGAAAACATAAAACATGTTGGTGTCAGCTTTCTATTTCTAGGGTTTATTTCAAAATATAAACTTTTCAAATGAACTTTAGAAAGTTAATTGACATTAGAAAGACTGCACTAAACACATCATAAAGCATATTTAACCAAAATAACACATATTAATACGTTTCCTCTAACAACATTGTTGTAACTTAAAAAAAAAAAGAACATAAAAGATAGCGTGAACCCTTAAATTCGGTTCTTCTGTATGCTGTATAAATGAACATTTAGGGCAAGAATCGTAGTAGACCATTACTAACTGTAGCCAGGGTATTTAAGACTTTTGTTGTTAACAAGCACTGTCCATCAAAATGTTCATTTTCACCGCAAAAGGATTCTGCTCTTGCTCTCACAAAAGTATTTTCAGCCATAGAAACGAATATAAAGACCTCTGCTTGGGAGAACATTAATTTCACTTCCGTGGTTAAAAAAAAAATTTTTTTTCTGTGGTTGTAGAGAAAATGATGCTGCGTTATGCTGGGACATTCTAGGGGACCGTGCGTCTGTGGCCGTCTCCGTGAGTCTGTGGCAGCTGGTGATAGATAATGCGAATTCACCCACCTGAGCTAGGTTTGCGGCATGGCCTCGTTTTCAGGAAGCGTACTGAAGGACACTCTGTGCACAGACGGCCTGTCCCACTCCACCCCTGGCTTCGGAAGGTGGTGGCAGTAGCCTTGATTACCTTCCACCTTCCCTCGGACTCAGTCCAAATTTAGGCGCATTCTGGATGGAATGGAGCAAGATCGATTTTGAGAATTAGATCCTTTAATAAGATCTGCGTGATGTTCTTTAATTAAACATACTTTTGTCAAGAAAAAAAGCTAATAGACCTTGAGAAGATCAATACCCTAAATTATATAGTTTATCAGCCTTCTGGAAGCTGAAGCTGCATGACAGTGTATTCAGAAAAGGTCTCGACAGTGTAAAAGCAGCCCTGCAGGAGAAAGACGCAAGGACAGCGATGGACAGTGGCCAAAGGCCTGAGGAGTGATACCTTGGCCAGGAGACAAGCATGCCAATCGGGGATGTGATCTGGAAGGGATTGGCATCGCGTGCAGAGTCCCAGGGAGTTAAGGGGAAAGGGGATACAAGGGAAGAGGAAGATGAGATGAGAGGTTTGGCACAGGAGGTGGGACGGTAGGTAGGCAGTAGGTACCACAGCTGCTGTGTTTCAGAGCAGAGCCGATAAACTCAAAATCAGGACGATACTGCCTCGAGAATCTCCAGCTGGAGCCCATTGTCTCCTATACTTCCAAGAGCTTAATGGCCAAGAGGAGGAGGGAGAGAAGGCAAAAATGATGGGCATTCACCGTCACTTCAGAATTGACCCTTGTGGACACGGCTGATTCATGTTTATAATTGTGTCATGGTATGCATTTCTAAAATGCTTTCTAAAAGCTTCCCATGAATCACTCAAACACAAAAAGATTAATCCTAGTGTTTAACCCTTGGCCAGCTGGGGAAATTCTCACGTTTGGAATGGCTCATTCGGTGATGTTTGTTGCCAGATAGATAACTTTCGTGAGGGAAGCACTGGGCAAAATCGATTGGAGTTCACTGTGTTTGCAGGTGTTTTAATGGTTCAGTATTGATTTAAGGTGGATTTCAAAATACACCTGGCTGTATCTCACAGATCAGGCTAGGTAACTAAAGGAGCACGGAGTTGACTTCAGTGAGTGATAGAGAACATAAATGTCAGCCAGGGCAACACCTGGAGTCAGTGAGGTTGTGCAGAAACTATATTCTGTGTAGCGAGACTGTGCTTGCTTAAAAGTCAGAACGCGCATCAGTGTTGAAAATATGAAAATCCAGGAATG